TAGTATGTCTGAGTCTATGTATGCATATCAGATAATCTTAACAACCCTTAAGGATTATTTATGGTTCCAGGGTTAGGTCACCGAATTACGCACTCTTATCTTAACTACAAACCCCTAGTTTGCCTATCTATCGTTTTGCTTGCGGTTAGATTCCCTAAGAGTTTTAAATATACTAGACAAATAGCCCAACCTGTAGTACCCCTCAGCTTTATATACCAATTAAACAAAGAAATACCGACAAATCCCGCTTGATTGATGGTAAATATGTCTGAAAGTAAAGATCTTACGTTCTTTTTGAAGTAATATTCGTACATTTTTTATAGAAATAAGGCCACACTATACTTCAAACTAGGCATAGTTCTGACTGAATTATTTTATTTTCCACGCTTCTCGATAAAACTGCCCTATTTTTCCTTGATTTCAGGTGGTGTTCGTTCTCACCGGCTACTGCAATAGCACCGACGAGCCGGGCTTCACCGCCTATCACCAGATCTCTACAGTCAGCTCTGGTCAGTTGTACATGCTGAAGAAGGGGCAAGTCAGAGAGGTGAGAAGCAGACGAGATTTCGATTACTCCGCATCCAATTTGTTTCACTCCTCTTCACATTGGTCCTTCGCTTTTTCATCTGCTTTTCAATCGTTTCGTCTTCCCATCCTTTCTTTTTGCATTTGTAGTTCATGCGCGTTGTCGAAGAGGCAATCGAATCGAGGAAGGTCCAGGTTCTTCAGCAAGACACTTGGGAGAACACGGCCAAGACATACACATTTCCGGTTGACTCACACTTGACGAAGATCACCGTCCAAGTGACTAACTACAAGACCAATGATCCGATTCTGGTGAAGATTCGCAACCCTGAAGGTAAACACGTTTATTTGCTATCTTACATTCTTAATTCAGTTAGACAGTCATTTCCGCTCTCTTCCACAGTTTAGTTTCTTGCACTCATCACCTTCCTTTCGCACGTCAATTCACTGAATTGGGGGGAAGAGTTGCATGCGAAAATTTACAAACTCTATAAACATTTCCCCATCCTTAGGCCCATTGGACCCTTGAGCATGGGAGGAACTGGAAATAAATCAGGTTTTGTCCTATCATGTCGTTCAATTAAGCAGAATTTCGTCCTTTTCGTCTGTTTTTGATCTGCACACTACCCGTTTAATATCGAAAATTGCATTGAGCCACTGACCGGCTGGTCCGTCTCAAAAGTGGGTTCTCACGTCGGATAGGCCAAGCTGCTGGCCCTCTTGTATGACGCATTACTCCGCTTTCGACGGAGCCCGAACCCGAGCCCTATTGCCCTCATTTCGGCCAATCGGTTTCCGAAGTAATCTTGGTTTAAGTCTTACCGGATAATGGGAGTGAGACGATGAGGTGATGCGGAGATGCAGCGCGATGTGAAGTTCTAGACTAGCACCAAGTCTTCTCTTCAATTTATTGTTTGATGGTGTCACTGACAGAACCATACAGAAACGAAAACGAGTCTCTACTTTCACTCTTCGTGGATGGATTAGACAAAGACCGCCCTTAACCCAGCTCTTTACAGCCATACCATATTGACAGCCTGACTGTGAAACTTACAATGCTACTTAACTAATTTAAGTAGTAATCAAATTGTATTTTGCATCGTAAAATGTCGGATCCTGCAACCCTTTCTATTCTCAAACCAGGAATCGTCGTTTATAGCAGATCGCAGAATCTAAAGCTTCCATATAAAGGCTCCTATGTTCTGAGAAATGAAATTATAACCAATTTCAGCAGAGTAAATCTTACAAATTAAGTCTATATCGCGAAATCTGATGAAAATACTTTCATATTCTCTTATGTGGGAGGCAATCTAGTGATCACTTTACGACCCAACATTTCTAGAATCCTTTCAGTCATATTAAAGCCAATGAAGTAAATTATGGACGAACCATCACTACCAAAAGACCAAGTCAAGCTAAAATCTCTCCAGTCTCCCACCAACACAAGTTCAGAGAAAACCATTAATAATTCTTAGCATTTTGATCAAATTTATGCCCATGACAGGCTTAAACCCTTTCATTATGCTTCAATCTAGCATAAAACTTTCGTGTTAACTTATTTTAGTGTCGAATTATCGCTAAGGCCACATTACAACTTGACCTTCTTTGGTCCGCATATTCTTTAGGCCTTTTTTACAGTCTCATCTTCTAGTTTTCTCTCGTCCATGCTCATAAACAAGCGCTCGTCTCCAGTGCTTCTGAGATTACCTGGAACTTAATTTAACCCATTTCCGCCCAGTCTTGAGAATCATGCTGGACCTCCACTCACTTTTGTTAGGTCTATTCTGCACATATTTTAGGGTGCCAGGTACGTCTAGGCATTATTTCATTGAGGGGTAGGTAGTTTCGGACAAGCCATTTGCGTGGATTGTCTTTTTCGCTCTCTCGCCATGATACAGTGAATTGATGCTATTCTTTCTGTTGCTATATCAACAAAGCACCAAATTATGGTGCTACTCACTTCAGGTTAATAGTAAGGTAGATGAAAAGCCAATTAATTCACAATACGCACTATTCTGTAATTAAAATTAATAAGAATACCTACATACTCCTTTCAACAAACAGTTTTCGATGCCATTTTTTTACCATTTTGGCTTAATCTTCTGGCTCTCAGGAAAGCTGATAACTGCTGCCGAAGGTCTCAATCAGCTGATGAAGACGGTCCCCTCGGTCTTCGTCGGTTCCATCGAGCGCCCCATGCCAGGATTCTGGACTCTTGAGGTATCAACTGAAGTAGATATCACCAGCGGCAAAATGACCACCATCGGGGGCGGTGGCAGTGGAGGAGGAGTGTCGATTAACATCGACGGCAGCGGAGGGTCTGCCGAGGAGGATGAGAGCGAAAGGATGAGCGGAAGCGGAGGTCAGAGTGCTTCTGTCTCGGGGGGAGAAGGAAAACAGTGGCACTCGGTCCGAGTTTCTGGCATCTCAGAGGTCGACTTTGTGCATGGCTTTGGCACTCGCCCATTAGCCTACAACTATGCCGCTTCTCGACAGCCAATCAGCGGTAAGATCCCAGACTCATGTACCTCAATTTAGTCATCACTTCGAACATCTCTCTTATTCTGAAAAGGGTGTATGTAGAAGGGATTCTTAAATGAGTAGATTAGCCAATTAGATTTAATGTATATAATTATATTACAAGAAAATAAGGCTATAATTATTACTAAGGCTATAGCATATCTATAAAATATAATTAAATTAAACTAGTTGCAAATATGTGATATATTTTTTAAAACAAAATAAATGGTATATAAATTGACCAAGTCGTTGCCTGGGAAATAGATGTAAGCCATATTAATCAGAAATAGGTGGTGAAATTGATCATAGAACCGAGTTCTTCGAGATACTGATGCGGTTCATTCTGGATCTTGTAATCCACCGATGAGGTAGACCAGGCGATGGCAACTGTTAGTCAGAAAGATCAAGGCCTGGTTGTCCAACCATGCATAATCTGTAGTATTGCAATGAGAAGACGTTCGGGCGGTTGACATGTTTGTTGTGGAGACTTTCAGTTCGTATGAAATCGCATGAAGAAGAGCCTCGAAGGTCGATCTCACCAGAAGAGGACGGTTTAATTTCGTTGTACTGCCGCCGTTTGGATTTAATACGACGTCCGTGAGACATACTTCCTCGTTTCAGGTTAAAACGGGCTGAGCTTCCGTTCATCAAATGGTGGATGTCATCAGAGCTGGAACTCATTCTTGTAAAAGTCTCAAGTTAACACGAGATCAAGAAGACTGTCCGGGTCTATCTTACCTCTTATACATACTCAAAAACTCGAAAACGAAAATATATAAACATATATAGATAGATATAGAATGATTTAACTAATTCTCTTTTACTGGAGTGCATGCATGTGTGTGTATGTGTGTTGACGTCTATACGCAATATCGATGATAAATCAGAGTGGTTAGAAAAGCCTGATGTTAGGCCCGGATCATCGAGGCTTAAAACCACATGAAAACTCCCAGTCGAGAGTGTGTAAGTCCGTATGCAACTTTGGTTTAGTTATTGAGATGTAGGCTTGTATGTGTGTAAGTCAGGTTACGAAACCCCTGTCATAACCTATCCGTCTAGGGTCATTATGGTTTGATGACCCAAAGAAGGCGTGAAATAGAATTGCGTAATCTATTCATCATTCACTTTTATGCGAAATGAAAGTCTCCTCAACAAGCTCATTTTAGATAATTCATCAAAACTCATTTATTCTTCGTATCCACAAGATCGACATGACTACACCAACGATCAAGTGAAATGCATTTTTTTTGGCCTCGAACCCAAGTCCCGAGAAAGATTTCAAGTCTAAAAATCTC